CTGCAACAAATTTGACACTATTGGGTCATGGCTCTTTTGCTAAATCCCAATATCCATATCCGCATAGTGTGAGATGTCTACAATTGTCTTGCCATTTAAGGCTTGCTTACCTCCCACTAATTGTAGGATTGAATTTTTATTAACCGAAGGGGGTCCCTCCCTTTACATCATAGTTGGGTTGGATACATTCTCTTTATGCAAATCACTACCGAAATTCTCGCCATGTAAATTTCTAATAGATATCTCCTCTTCCAAGGATTTTGGATCTGGTAAATCTGCATCCACAGATCTGGTAAGGTTGCCATCGTCTTCTTGCCTTCCATCCAACATCAATGATGGTAGTTTGCTAGCCATGTCCTTTAGAGGCTTTACCACTACGAAGCTTGCTATGAACTTCACTACAAATGTCAAATGTCCTTTGTATAGCTACAGATTAAGTAGTGTTGTAGTTTATCTTTGGTCACTTCATCCTAACAGGTCTCAAGGTGTTCTTCTATCTCTGCTCGAAGGCTACACCTATCAACAACATGTCCTAATTTGCCACATAGCTTGTAGAAACGAGGAAGCCACTTATAGTGAAACTTCACTATGATCACCTTCTTATCCATGAGTGTGTAGGGTGTGCTGTGTACTAGGCTTTTAAAAATATTCATTAAGACTTTGATTCTAATGAACTTACTCCAGTTGCTCACTTCATCTTCTCTAGGTTCATAGGGCTTACCTATTGCTTCTACGATCTTCATGCCAACTTTGGGTTTGAGATATTCAACTAGGAGTCCTATAATATGAACCCAAACATCAATTCTGTCTAAAAGATAAAGAATCGGGTGTTTTATTTGGGAGACATTTCTCCATAATTATATAGTCATCATTGAAAGACCATGGTCCTCCATGGAGAGAATCATCCTAATGTACTACTAATTTGATGTGAACTAAGAAAGAATCATCATAGAAACTCCACCACTAGTCTATCTTTATGTAGTGTCTAGATTGTATTCAAGTTCTCCAATAAGCCTGCTAGCCTTCTTTATCAGTAAGAACCCTAATCACCTTACTTGTGTAGCAATTTATGAGATCATCAATATCTTCTTGATTTGCTTCAATCATTAGTCTATCTACTGGGTTGAGGATAAGTTCGACTTTATTAATCAGATCATTAATTATGGTGAGGAGTTTGGTGGATGATCCATACCCACCTGAGAAAAGCAATTAGGCAAGAGAAAAAAAATTTCACCAAATAAGGTGAGGAGACTCACCAAAAAAGGCAAGAGGGAGGCAACAATAATTACACCTCCTTTGTTAGAATAACATATTTTGAGTGTTGGATGTGTAGTTAATACTGAGTAATAAATAAATAAAAGAAATAACCAACTGATGCTTCAATTGGTAGGTTTTCTTTAGCTAGTTGTAATAAACTGGGATAAATACTATTGCCACCAAGGGGGGGTGTTTTGGAGGAGGGGTTTATGGGCATGGGAGGTTGATCATACTTGTTGGTGTTGGGATGAGGTATAAATGGTTGATACTAGTTAGTGGTTTAGATGTTAGACAGTGTATGCCTTAGTTCCAATTAGATTGATATACAAATACGATTATTTTAAATGAATAAAAGTATATTATTGTTTCATGTTGATATTTGTATGCTTCTGTGCAATTACCCCTTAAACTGGACATTTATGAGACTCGTGTTAGTTTAAATGTTCTCAGGTGTTGGATAGACTTAGGGAGTTTATCATGCCAAGGCTAACATTGAGTTTATGGCCCTTGGATTCGAGTTGACTTTTCACACATATGTGGAAAATTGCACCAAATGCAATTTCTAATCCCCAAATCATGGACAGAGCTTTTATTTCAATTGTTGAAATGGTCAAAGAAGATGACCATAAGAGGGAAGGAGCAAATGGGGCAAGGAAACCAGTTATATCGACTGGTGATAGATGGCAGCTTAGGGAGTACCAAGGCTGATAGGGGCTTGCTAGTTGCCAATAGATATCTTTTTGCACCAAAAAGTTGCAGGAGCCCGACACCTGCATTTGACAACAAATGGAGATAACAATGTGGAGGAAATTTTGAGTTGCTTGAGGTCTGAGACTCCGATCCCAATACATCAATGGGATGAAGGTCTCAAGTCCAGGTACATTAAAAATGGGACATCACCTTTTACCTAGTAATCATTAACCTACAGTGATGGACCAACTGTCAGATTTTTTCCAACTCAACCTTAGGCCCTCTTATAATTCCATAGTAATTATCTTTGCCCCGGACCTAATGGGCTAGCCCACTTATAACCCAATTTCAAGCCCCATCCCTAACCCCTATAAATCCAAGAAAAGTAGGAGGCCGAATATAAGTTTTTTTTTTTTTTTATTAAAAAATCAAGGACCAAATCAAATAAAGGCCGTCAAGCACCAAATCCTTATTTTATAGTCTCAACCCCAATCAGGTCACAAATTGGCGATGCAAAAGACCTTATAGCCTACTATAGATATTGAGCTGAAGCCGGAAACGACGAATTAGCGACAAAAATCTAGAGTTTAATGGTTACACAAGGGTGATGGCAATACAAGCTTCTTTTACAGAATAACCATTGTTTGGCAGCAAATGAATCATATCTATTGCATTAAAAATTAGTCTTAACACTTAATTCACTTTGAGCTTGAAAACCAACAAGTAATTATAGGTTATTTTGATAGTCTTAACACTTAATTCTCTAAGGAGATGAACCAAGAGTTGTTAAGCCCTTTTTATGATATGAAAATTTACTCGACAGTTTTTTCTATTGGTGCATGCAAGGCTCCCATGTCAGACATTTTTTTCCAAAATTTTTGGTGAGTCGTAAGATAGGACATCACTCATGAGATTAAAAGTGGGTTCTAATGGAAGAGCATCCCTAATTTTATTAACTTCACTAGCATCACTATGATTCCCAAATTTTCTAATCTTGAAGATGTTTCACAGTACAAGTCTATTAAACTCACCAACATTGTGTATATGTTGCTCTCAAAGTGTTTGGTTAATATGCTCCCCCTAATCATTGACTAAAGCCAATATGCCTTCATAAAGTATAGATTAATTTCAGATAATATCATCCTAGCCCATGAAGCATTCCACTTTCTCAAACCATAACTAAAGGAAAGAGATACTATATGGGCATAAAGATAGATCTAAACAAGGTCTATGATCACCTTGAATGGTCTTTCATCATCAAGGTGCTTAATCAACTTGGTCATAATAAATATTGGCTTGATCAGTTGCCATTCCTTTGTGGAGTTCACTTTTAACCAATAGTACTCAATAAGCCCTCTAGGGGTATTAGACAAGGCAATCCCTTTTACCTATACTTGTTGGTTCCATGGAATTGCTTTATTTGGTATCCAGTTAGATGCACTTCATTATAACAACTTTGATGATTGGCTTAGTGTGATCTACTCCATGGTTATTTTCATAATATTCTAATCCTACTTGTTGTTTCCAAGGAATTGTTTTATTTGATGGTTGATATGGACTACCATAAACCATTTTTTCTATACAAATGAGCCCCTCTGTCCTATTAGAATTATCCAGTGTGCCATGCTTGGCAATTAGAAATATCAGTAGCCTTCTATTCTCTTGTTTTTTTTTCACTTGCCATCACCCCATATCCTCTCTAGTGCTTAGGAGTTGCTTCCCCAGGGATGGATTAAGATTAGTTGTGATGTTGCTTTTGACAACTATTGTGAACACCTTCCTTGCTTGTATCACTCGTTTTGACTCTGGTGTCATTGTTTGGGCCAGTGGTCATAGAACCTTGGCAATCTTTGCTTTAAACGTTGAGGCTATTGCCATTTGTCTTGCATGTGTTCCGTGCCAACAAATTTAGTCAAAAGAAACAAAACCCACGAGCCTGTGCCTTGAACATTTTCCTTACTCGTTTTTAATTGGACACTTGACAATTTCCTTTATGGAAATACAAACAGTTTGTAATGTAAGTTTGACTAAGTGAATTGGTTGCAAACCATAGTGGATATTTTGGTGAAACACGGACTGGATATAAACACGTGAAACTATAGTGGGTGCTTTAGTAAATGACCCTTGTCATAATCTTTTCAAACTTTAGAGGCGTGTTATGTATCATGAATGCTTTTGTTTTCAACTGCTCCCAAAACACAATACATATTTTGAAACCATAACGGGTGTTTTTGTGAAACACAAACTATAAGGTAGTTTTAGTAAATATGTAAAACTATACTAGGTGTTTCAGTAAATGACCCATTTTTTCATAATATTTTTCAAACTAAAAGGGGTGTTCTACAAAATTAATGTTTTGTTTTCAGTTCATTTTCAAAATTGCTACACCTTAAAGAAAAGAAAAATCTTGAATTGTATTATCGTTTTGAAAATTAAGGTTTTGTTTAAAAAAATAAAATACATGTTTTTTAAATCATCAAAGTTAGATATCATATAAAATCGATACTTGCAGATCACAAGAGTTAAATTCAAATACCATATATCATATATGATTAATACTTATTTGTACACACGCATATATCATAGCAGATGCTCTTACACTAATATTTTCCAAAACAAAACCAAAATTTGAAGTATAGGTTTGGGCTTCTTTCGCGTAGTTGAAACCCTCGATACTGAGATGGGCTTCTCCCTGAACTAAACCCGGCCCAAACCCAAACATTTTTAGGTCAGACTGGGATTGGACTGGCATCAGATTCAGCCCTACCCACGGAGCTTGCTGCTTCAAACAAGGGACAAACACGTAGGGAAGCTGTAGCCTGTACCCCCAGGGAGAGATTCATCTAAAACAGTGCGGACATCCATGTTCTTCCACCACAAGACAACAAACAATGTACTCATTTTCTCGAGTAGCAACAAAGAATGTACTTCGTGGAGTGGTTTTTTTCTTTCTTTTTCTCCTCTACTTTTCGCTGTTTGCGGTAAATTTACACGGTTTAGTTTGTTCCCTTCCCATTATGATTAGGTCCCGTGAGAGGCAAGCACAAGGGAAACCATCTCACGTGCCCTCCAATCCTTATCCTCGAAAATTCAGAACCAAGCGACACAAAAATTGGGCGCGACGCAGAGCTGCGGCGCAAATTTTTTGTGAGCGCAAAAGCAAAAGCGTGTCTCGGTTGAAACACAGAGAGAGCGAGCGAGCTTTTTCTCTCTCTTGGGAGGTAAGGGACTAAAGGCGGGTGGGTGTTGAAGGAGTTCAACCTTCAATTTTCGTTTAATATCAGGAGAGAAAATGGAAATGCGAGATAAATATATAAATGAGAAGGAGTTTTCATGACGATGGATAGGCTTTTGCTACATATTTTTCTTCTGGCCGAGTCTACCATTTTCTTTGTTTGTTTTCGTTGATTTTTGTTTTTTCTCCGGAGGAGTCTCACTGTTCAAGATCTAGGGTTCGGGAGAAGCGGTAATGGCGGACCAGAGGAACAGGTGGAACTGGGAGGTCCCTGGGTTCGAACCGAGGAAGTCATTCGAGCGGGACGATCATGTACCCGCTCCTTTGGTTCGAAGGTACTCCATTTCGACGTCGTCAGTTCTGTCGCACGTTGACTCGTCGAGGAACGCCTTTGCCGCGAAAGTTCTGAAATTGAGGGATAAGGTTAAGGTATGAGCCGTAAATCGTTATCGGTATTATTATTCTTAGTTTCTACACTAGGTTTCAGTTTGTTCTAATGGCGGATGTTGGAGCTGTTTAGTGGCAAGTCAAGTAATAAGGAATGTGAGGGGGTTGTGTGGCTTTTGACAGAATCTAATGTTTTTTTGGGTATGTTGAAAGACTGAAGCTTCTCTGTTGTCAATTAGAAACCTTTGGAGATTGTCCGTGGGGAGATGTTGGAAGGAGTCTTGAGTTACCCTTTAAAATGCTGTCAACTGTACAGTAATTCATGCTAAAGGCTGTTAGTAGCTATTATATAGCAAACTTTAGCTTTAGAAAATTGAACTGTTCCTATTTGGGTTGGTTGATGGGATCGGTAAAGATGGTTTCTTATTGGTTTTGTTAGAATTTGTTTAGTATTTTATTCGATGAGCATTTATCAATGAATAAATATGGGTAATACTCCCTTTACAAAACAATCATGTTGAACTTAGTTGGTTGATGGGAATGGTAGAAATGATATAGAAGTTACACATCGAAAAGTTAAATATAAGAAGTATATTCTTCCCCTTCATTACATAAACCAGAAAACCTCATCTGCCTGGAGTCAAGCAGAATATAATACCAAAAAAAAAAGTAAGCCTCTCTCTTTTTTCCCTAATAACTTTGGGCATAGGGTTGGCTGCCTATTAAGAACCCTGCTGATTACATTCTTTCTAAATGCTCCAACATATAGCAAAAGGCACCATATTCCACATTATACAGCTCTTCCCACTAAAACTTCTAACTGGCCATGCTTGGGCCATAGGTGCTAAGTTCAGTGGAAGGACCCTTCGATGCCCAAAGAGCTTGACAATTCCGTGATGTATTTAAAGGGTGGTTATAATGGATCAGAAGATGGGGGGGATAATCTCATTATTGGTTTGGCAAAACAAGGCACACATCGTGGACATATCTCCTTGGCTATAAAATGGTCAGTTGTAAGGATTTTGTCTACAAGTCACTGTTCTCATACCAAAAGAAACTTATGAGTTTGAATGCAATATGCGGTGAGTAGGATACCTTTTCTTATGGACATGGAGGCAGAAGTGAAACAAGAGAAAGGATGCATGACAAATTTCAGTTACCTCTCCAGTCATTGTCATTTTCCTTTGGTAGTGTGATTGTGATTCCACTTTGTGATCTTTTTTGGCTAACCTGATGAGGTTGTTGATCTCATATTGTCATGGATCATACATCCATAGGTAAAAGTAGCAAATTGATGTCTGGGATGCTTGTAGCAGTTCTTTTGATCCTTCAATGCTCATTTGTCTGGGAGTTATGGTACTTTACCCTTATATGGTTGGATTTGTAATCTTCCTCCTCCAATCCTCCAATGGTCAATTGAAGCTTGGGATTATGTTGTGTCTCTTAAAGGAGTTCAATGAGAGAACCTTTGAGGACAGATCTTTGTATCCCAATCATTCAAGAAAAATATATCATTTTCTTGATCTGTTGAGAGCAGAGCAAGGGTTTGGTAACTGATGGGACATTTCTTGCCTAATACTGGCCTTTTTTTTGTAAGCGAAGTAAATATAATTTTAAAAATAATATGAATCAAGGAACAGATAGCAGTATACTGCTAGTAAGATGCTTGAAGGGGTTTCTGGGATCGGATGTCTTGTTTAGGTAATTGTTGGGCATTGGGCTGGATTGATAATCTGGCTTCTTTTGTCTTTTTTTTTTGTCTTGTATTGTAGTGCTATGGGTAAAGGATTTCATAGCTGGGTCTTATTTTAGTTTGGGTTGGGTTTTGGACTTGTTATTGCCTCAGAGGATTTTGGTTTGGGTTGGCATTTCTTTTCGGGTGATTGCTTATCACCTTCATTATATCTTCTTTTTTGTTTTAATAATTTTTTCTGTTATTTCCAAAAAAAAAAGAACTGCTAGTAGGCCCCAGTATTCTACTTTTAATTTTACAAGCTTTGCAAGTTAATTCCCGACCTTGGTGATCCCTACACGAGGCATTTTCTTGAGGCCCTGGTTCTTGCTAGAGAGTCTTCCAAGGCTATTTGCTGATAGTGAAATCCATCCGGACAAGTAATTCAGGGAAGAGGAATATAATGAGATTAAAGGAGAAAAAATAGACAGGGGAAGAACAAGAAAAGAGTAATGGGAGCAGGAAGGATGGGGAAAGAGTTTGGCACTTAATTTGTCAATATTTTGATGAACTGGTAATATTGGACCTAAAAGGGAGGCAAAGTGAGAGAACAGAAAAGCCCCATGCTATAGGCCAAAACATAGGAGTAAGGTGGTGGTACTAATTGAGTTGGTCAGAAACTCTGAAAGTTGGAGTACTGAGGGATGGGGATTGAGATCTTTTAGATCTGATGATTTGGAGGTCCACAGAGAGTAAAAAGGTTGATAGAGAATATCCTTGCTTAGGGTTTCAAGACCAATATTCATTTTCAGAATCTGGACCTAATTACTAATGTATGCTTTTGGAATGTGAGCTGATATTTATAGTTGCTCTTGGAAGTTTTCAGATTTGTCTTTTTTGGACTTATTTACTTTATTACATTGCCTTTATCTTGGTTGCCTTTCTTGGGAGTCACAACAAAGCATTTTTATAAAAATATTTGTCTGACATGATGTTGTGTATTGATTAGTTATGCCACATCAACTTTGTTACAAGAGAGATCACGTAGGGGCTGGTAGACGACCATGTGGAAGAATGAAGTAGTTGAATACTTGGAGGAGTTGGTGGGGAGATTTTCATTCTTAGTAAAACTTAGTAACTTGGTGGATGGATTTATATGGGTGATGACAAGTGTTTATGGTTCAAATACTTTTACAAGGAAAGGAACGAGTTCTAGGAAGAGCTCTATGCCATTAGAGGTCTATGGAATGGGCCTTGGTGCTTGGGGGAAGATTTTAACATGATAAATAAACCCAACCAACAGATACCCACAACTATGAGAAATTTCAACCACTTATTGATTAGTGTGAATTGAAGGAAATTCATCTGTTGCAAACTAGTTTAACATGGCCCAAACTCCTGAGCAATCCCATTTGCTCTAAATTGGATAGATTCATATTCACTTTACATTGGGTAGACCATTTAGAAGGGACTATTTCAAGAGCAAGTTACAAAAGATTGTGTGATAAAGAGAGGAAGAAAAAGAAAAGAGACAATTGACCAACTAACTTCATACCTCACAAAAAGTAAACAAATCTCTCCACTTGCAACTCTTTCTCCAAAGAAGTGCCTACCGCTATATGCTTTGTATGATCATGTTGAATAGGGTTGCAGGCTATGTTTACCGCAACTTGGTTGTCACAATATAACATCATTGGAGTATCTATATGTACTCCCATCTTTGTCAACAAGTTCTTCAACGATAATAGTTCAAAAACCTCATGAGGCATAACTTTGTAGTTTGCATCTGCACTAGATTGGGCCGCAACAAATTGCTTCCTACTTCTCCAAGATACAACATTACCATCCACCAAGGTAAAATAAGTAGAAGTTGAGCACCTATCATCAATAGAACCTGCCTAATCGGCATTGGAGTAGACCTTAACCTTGAGATGCCCATGATCAAAATAGAACATTTTTTTTCCTGGACACCCCTTTAAAAAGGCAAGTATTCAATTTACTGCTTGCATATGTGAAGATCTAGGATTATGCATATTTGACTGGCCACATTCACAACATATGATATATCGGGTATTGTCAAACATAATTAGAGAAGGCAACTAACATGTTTTCGATACTCACCTTTGTTAGGAAGGACATCTTTGTTATCGGCTCCCATCTTATGATTGAGATCAATTAGAGTTTCAACTGGTTTACAATCCAATCTTCCTACTTCCTGAAGAAAATCAAGAACATATTTCCTTTGAGAAATATAAATGCCCCTTTTTGATCTTGCAACCTCAATCCCTAGGAAGTGCAAGGATTTCTAATATCCTTAATTTCAAATTCTGTAGCAATGAAAGACTTCAGTTCAGCAATGCCTGAGACATCATCCCCTGTGATAACAATATTATTGACATATACTATCAACATAGTCACATGGCCATTGGCTCTTCTTATAAACAAGGTATGGTCATCTTCAGATTGCGTAAAGCTGATTTTCAAGATCACCTTTCTAAATCTGTCTAACTAAGCTCTAAGTGATTGTTTAAGGCCATAAAGGAATTTCTTCAAGCGACAAATCTTTCCTTCACTTCTAGGGATGTTCACTCTTGGAGGAAGATCCATGTAAAAGAAGGGGTTTTGTTGGGGGGGGGGGAGGGGAGAGGATAGCTTAGAAGAGGAAATTGATGAAGCTGAAGAGGAAGGAGTGGAGTTTGAAAAGTTGAGAAAAAAGTGGATGTGGAAAAGGTGGTGGAAACTGGTCTACTAGTCAGCAAAAATTTGGGCTTATTGGTTCTGGGAGGGGAAGAGTACACTAGAAAAATGTTTTGGGAATTAGAGCTTCAGTATCCAATGGTTGTTGAAATGTCCTAACTTGGTGTGTGGTTAGTTTTGAGGTTTAGGGTTTTTCTCTGTTGGTTGGGTTTTTTATTTTTGAGGGTTGCATGCTTTGGAAGTAAGTGGGGGGTTATTGTCTGAGTATTAAATTAAAGCTGTGTTTTGTTTGGGATTGGGAGTTTGTATTGTTCTTGGGTTCCTTTTTAATTTGCGGGTTATTCCTTATGACCTCCTTTGTACTTTTTCTTTTTCCTTTTTTCTTAATAAATTGCCTTTTTCTTATACTACCCTATAAAAAAAAAAGAAAAGATCCATGTAAACCTCTCCCTAAAGGTTGCCATTAAAGAAGACATTCTTAACATCCATTTGATACAAGGGCCAAGAATAGTGGGTAGTTAGAGACATAATAACTTGAATCGGGTTCATCTTGGTTATAGGAGCAAAGGTTTCCTGGTGATCAATACCATAAGGCTGAGTGTATGCTTTCGCCACATGGTGAATTTTATACTTTTTAGTCGAGCCATCAACTTTATGCTTCATAATGTATGCC